GCATCACACTGTTGACTCATATTTAGCTTGTGGTCCACTATAACCCCTAGATCCCTTTCTGCCGTACTCCTTCCTAATTTAATATCTTTCCCAAATTGACATTAAAACTGCCTTCTTATTCCCAAATAATGAAATCCTTAGTCAACGCCCTTCCGAAATAATCCACATTGACTTTAACAGTAGTCTGTTAGTCTGAAAGCTTTACATGAAGCAAAATCCATTTCCAGAGTATCAACAATCAGGATTTTTGGCACAGTGGCCAAGTGAAGTGAGGTCTGACTCTCAACTTGATGGCATTTCTCTGTTTGTAATGCAAGAACTTTGGAATGCTGCATCCAAACCCTGTCTTCCATATATTTCCAAGTGGTTGCTGACAGCAGTATGCACAGTCCCTCTCAAAGTATCTCTAAGATGCCCTCTGCAGTACTCTACTTTATCCCAGCCTTTCCTCTTGTCTTTACAACCACTGGATATTTGTGTCTCTTTTGACTGCAAATAAAATGATGGGGCCAGATATATCTCATATCATCCTGGCTATACCTCCCAGGACTTGGCTTTCTCCTTATCCTCATGTCATATTTTCCCCTGGTCATATACAATCATATATCCTGATTTTCGGACGTGCTAGTCTCTGGAACTCCATTACCAAAACACCCCATGCCACACTGGTATCCCTATAAGTGTATGGCTCATTTATGGATCTTCTGGTACACATGCACAGTAAGCAGCTTCATTTAATGCCATATGGTAGGCTGAGAATCATTTGGAAAACTCCCTTGAAAAAAATGGTAGATTTCACTGCTGCTCCATGTTTTCTTCTGCCTTTCTCCCAGAGTTGTTCCAAACTTTATATATCTTCTGTGTGTTTGTATATAAATTTCATAGCTTGAAATATTTTCAACCTCAGCAATAAAATGAATGGTGCCTAGTGAAATGTTAGATGTCATGTTGCCTACTCAAAAAAGAGGAGAGTTTAAAAGCAAGTGACCCTGGAGCTGTACCACAGTTCATCTGATGTATTTGAAAGTTTCTTTGTGTTCATGATCTTTGAACACAAAGATCATGATCAGTTCATGATCAGTTCCTTGGAGCACCCCTTGGTTAAACTTCTGCCAGGGTGTTAATGGGCCATTTATTCCTACTGTTTGGTTTCTTTCCCTTAGGGTATGTCTACACTACCCGCCGGATCAGCGGGTAGCGATCGATCCAGTGGGGGTCGATTTATCGTGTCTAGTCTAGACGCAATAAATCGACTCCCGAGCGCTCTCCCGTCGACTTCTGTACTCCACCGCCGCGAGAGGAGCAGGCACAGTCAACAGGGGAGCGGCAGCAGTCGACTCACCGCAGTGAAGACATCGCGGTGAGTAGATCTAAGTATGTCGACTTCAGCTACGTTATTCATGTAGCTGAATTTGCGTAACATAGATCCCCCCCCCCCACTGTAGACCAGGCCTTAGCCAATTTCTAATCCAGCACAGAACTTCACCTCCTCTCACCCTATGGCTACTTAGTTTTCTTAAATAGCCTCTTATGAGGGATTTAGTCAAAGGGTTAAATTAATTATGTTAGCTGGTCTTATCTACTGTTTTGTTGACATCACAGTATATGTTAAGTTGAGAGGTAAAAAGGAATTTTCTCCTTCTAAAGGAGTCAGGATGGTTGAGTGGACACAAGGAGCTGCACTTTAAGGCTGTAGAGACCAGCTCAGACACCACAATGTAGGAACATTCCAGACTTCAAATCTATACAGTGCAGGTGCAGTCTGTTGTGTCTACAAGAGCATGGCCACAAGTGATTTTTGCAGGACAGAGAAGGCAGAGGAACCTGACCAGAACATTGCTGTATGACAGCCAGTTTGCTCCTACCTATTAGCAGGAATAACGCCTAGGTACCCCTTTAGCAGGACAAGGATCACGCTTAAAACCATGTTTTCTCAGACATGCTCATTCTCTGTTCAGATCCTGCCCCTTTTCATACTCCACATTTAAAAGTCAAAGAGTAAATGCAGAGGGGGGTTGAGACCAACTATTTCCTCAGTGCAGAGGCTTCCACTTGGCACATAACTTTACTTGACCTATGCATAGCTGGCACTTATTTGCAGCAGCCTTGCACACCCAAATGAACATTGTCCAAGGACTCACAGGATTAAGACCTTCAGCATGAAAGATGACCATCAAGGTCAATCCACATATTAGTAATGGTTTGTACTTTGTATTATGTAATGTTTTTTCTTGTAATTCCTTGTCCCATTATTTAAAAATGTATTTCATTGCCACTTCTTTGCCAACCTTGGCAATTGGTTTTAGATGTGAATTACCTTCTTTGTAAAGGAATTTCTTCTGAATACCCTCAGAGACCAGTCCTTTCTCAGCTCCTTTTTGTTTGTCCTCTCTTGATGTGGAGGCCGTTCACCTATTGAACAGTTTTGTGCCATCCACCTTTTTCTCTCTGAATTCTATGCACTTCGTTCACATCCTCTATGAATCTCGTTTTCTAATGAATAGTTGCATAGTACCAGCAGAAAAGGGAAACTTTTCAAATAGAGTCCATATAGGTAAACATCCATTACTGCCCTTTATCAGAAATAACAGACTCAAATTACAAGGGTAGCAGGGTTCTGGGTTTTTTTGTGTGGACCAACCCATATTCACCAACAAAGCCACACGCTGCACTCCTTGGGGCATTTTCCCTATGACATGGTTTTGCATCTGAGTGTGAGAGGCAAACATATTCAAAGACTAGACAATGGCTGAAAAAGTATTGAGACAGAATACGAGAAGGGACAACTGGAAAAAATTACCTCAGCATGGAATCCTGGATGTGTCACATTCTTAGATCATTGTGGCATTTGCCAGGTCCACGTAATCACAGCCATGTAAGGGTAGTACTCAAAGGCGGGTGGGAGGAAAGCTGGAATGTAAGAGAAAAATGACAACGTCATTATTATCCACATCACCCTCAAACAGGAGGGAGTGTCCAGTGTCTGTAACGGTGGCCACAAAATGGCTATGGTGCCTGAAAAATCTGGATCTCCTTCTCCAGGATCTATCTCACGTCCATCTAGCCTCAAGATAAAGTATATTAAAGCAAGCATTTACAAGCAAGCAAGCTCTTCCTTGTTTTTCAGAAAGAATCTCACAACAGTCAGAGAGAGATACTGCAGTAACACACGGCCCTGATTCTCACATACACACTCTGGCAGGGTAAAGGGCACTTAAAATGGATTTAAAAGTTATGAACCCCACTTTAAGGCCCCTTTATATTGCTAAAAAACAACGAGGAGTTCAGTGGCACCTTAGAGACTAACAGATTTATTTGGGCATAAGCTTTCGTGGGTAAAAAAAACCCACTTCTTCAGATGCATGGAGTGAAAATTACAGATTGAGGCATTATTATACATGAAAAGAAGGGGTTCATGTATAATAATGCCTGCATCTGTAATTTTCACTCCATGCATCTGAAGAAGTGGGTTTTTACCCATTAAAGCTTATGCCCAAATAAATCTGTTAGTCTTTAAAGTACCACCGGACTCCTTGTTGTTTTTATGGATACAGACTAACACGGCTACCCCCTGATACTTTATATTGCCAGAGTGTGTAAGTGGGCCTTAACATAAAGGAGAATCAGGCCATACCATTTCCCTATCTTTATAGAATCTTCATCTCACCATTTTGATCTCATTTTAATTGGGAAGGTTGTATGGAAAGATGCAGCATCACAGCTGGGTAGGATGGGCTGACAGCACTTTTAAAGACAGCCACTTATATAAAACAGTTACATGTGTGTGTTTTGTATAGCGATTAGGGGCAGGAAAAGCTTGGAGCAGTACAGCTTTTGCTATACGTTTTGCAAACTTGCAGCACCAAAACCTAAACCCACCTGCCTTTCTGTGGCCCATGCCAAAGGGGTCCCAGAGCCAGGATCTACTTAGTTGCATATGAGAAAGTGTCAGCCTCACCCTCCTGTCTGTGCTCCAAGGATGGACTACCAGAATCAGCAATCTGTCAGCCATTTCACTGGCTGCCTTTTATAGGATTTTGGCAGACTCCAATGTGCCTGGCTTTGGCAAGTTCTTGTTTCATCCTAACTGGCTTCCTAGGGGCAAATTGCGCTCTGTACAGTGGGCCAGTACAAGGCCCCAAGGGCTTAAGTGGGACTTATCTGGGGCACAGGCCTTGTATTCTTCTGCACAGGAGCAAATTTCATCCTGTGAGAGGAGCCAAGCACCTGCAACTGCCACTAAATTAAAAAGAGTTGCAGGTGCTCAGCACATCTTAGGGTCTGACCCATTATAAATAATGTTAAAAGATATTAAGCAAAATTGACAGCACCAAAAGATTTTGCAGCCTTGCAAGCTCATTTCTTGGAGGTGGCCTGGATCATCCTGTCAGTGACTGAGTGATTGTTTCATTCGGGGGAGGGTGGGGGGGGTGAGTTTTAAAACACGAGATTCCAGCTTCTTTTTCCTCTCTATCTTTCATTCCCTTATCTACCCTGTCTGCCAGCCTCCTGCTGCCAGTGCCAGGGTTAGTGCATTGTTCATGCCACTCAGTAACATGCTGGACAGAAAACTATGGGATATTGTAGCATCATCATGTGATTTCTTCTGCTTCCAACAACCTTTATCCGATGAACAGCCAAATATACATGGGAAGACTGTGCCATGGAACAATTCATCTTCTATAAAAAGGCTTCTTCACAGTTAGACAATACACAGAATTCATATTTCTTAGCTTGAAAAAAAAATGGAAAAGCATCCAAGGCCATACCTTCTCTAACCTGACAGGCCAAAGAGCAGATGAGACATCAGTGAGGTTAGTAGGAAACTTGGCAATTTGTGACCAGGTCTAACATAGCAGAAAATTAAAACATTTTAGAGAAAAGTCATGTGAAGCTGGCAGTGATGCTCACAGATTTGAAAGAGGGACAATTTTATCTCCCAGTATTTAAAAATTGAACATACTAGTCAGCTAGTGCACTTTAACCAAAGCAGGCCTTCTGCATCAGGATACATATATACCAAGATAAAAATTATTAGACTGCACGTAGCATTACATAGATATCAGGTAGTAAGACTAGGCATATTAAAGCCTATATTAATGTCTTGAATAAAATCATAATAACAGTAATAATACCTAGCACTTTTCATCAGATCTCAAAGTGTTTTAAAAGAACCCAACTCTCTACAATTATTGCATTCAGCAGGTTTTGCGGTATCGTTTTAATTTGTGGCTTATTTAAAATGTTACCAGACGGTTGTGTCAATAAACAATGTGCTGCAACTGAAAAGGATTGGCTATACAATGAACACACACACACACACACAAAACGGTGGACAGGCTGCCACCCACACACACAATGCTGGGTGGGCTGCTTAAATTAGATCAGTCATCATTCAAATTCCTGCATAACTGACTGAAATGCTAAGTATATATGGAAGGTAACATGTACTGATATTCAGATTCATGTCATGGTAATCAAAATTCTTTTATTAAATTACAAAATTTTAACAATCCAGGAAGAGTATCAAAAGAAGCAACAGGTTTCTAGTCATTAGAAATCTGCATTTAGGAAACTCCTGGGACAGAAGCAACATGTACATAGATCTATAGATAAAGAGATAATAAGCTATGCAAGTTTTGCATGAACTTCTGTTTATCTATATCTGTTTTATTGCACCTCTTCAGTCATTTTGTGGTCAGTCTTATTAATACACTTTCATCCAAATACTGCTACATATCTCTTGTCCACTTATTTTACTCCATTAACTTACATCCATTCTAAAAGTTAAAGGACACCAATGCATACCAGAATCCAGTGTGGCTCTGAAGCTACCAGTGTGCTGGAGAATTATTTAAATGATTAAGAAAAAGAAGCATTATAAGCCATTGGGCAGATTCACTAGTCAGGGGCCTAGGGTTGCCAACTTTCTCATCGCCGAAAACCAAACACCCTTGCCCCAGACCTAGCCCTGCCCCTGCCCTGAGGCCCCACCCCTCCCCCGCCCCTTCTCTGAGGCCCTGCCCCCCACTCACTCCATGCCTCCTCCCTCCGTTGCCCACCCTCACTCACTTTCACCGGGCTGGGGCAGGGGGTTGGGGTGCGGGAGGGGGTGAGGGCTCCAGCTGGGGATGCAGGCTCTGGCTGGGGCCATAAATGAGGGATTCAGGATGTGGGAGGGAATGCTGAGCTGGGGGAGGTTGGGGCTGAGGGGTTCAGCGAGTGGTAGGGGGCTCAAGGCTGAGGCAGGGGGTTGGAGTGTGGGAGGGGGTCCAAGCTCTGGGCTGGGGGTGCAGGCTCCAGCGCAGGGCCAGAAATGAGGGGTTTGGAGTGTAGGAGGGGGCTCTGAGCTGGGGCAGGGGGTTGGGGTCTGGGAGGGGGCGCGAGCTCTGGGAGGGAGTTTGGGTGTGGGAGGGGGGCTCAAGGCTGGGGCAGGGAGATTGGGAACAGAAGGGGAGGCGGAGAGGGATGCGGGTTCTTGGCGGCGCTTACCTCAGGTGGCTTCTGGGAAGCGGCCGGCATGTCCTGCCGGTTCCTAGGCAGAGGCACAGCCAGGGGGCTCTGCATGGCACGCGCTGCCCCTGCCCACAGGCACCACCCCTGCAGCTCCCATTTGCTGCCATTCCTGACCAATGGGGGCTGTGGAGCCGCCACTGGGGCAGCGCACAGAGCCCCCATGGCCACCTCTACACCTACGAGTCAGAGAGACATGTTGCCACTTCCCGGGACCCACACGGAGTCAGGTAGGGAGCCTATCTGCACCGCCAACCAGACTTTTTTAACGGCCCAGTCAGCGGTGCTGACTGGAGCCGCCAGGGTCCCTTTTTGACCAGGTGTTCCAGTCAAACACCAGACACCTGGCAACCCAAGTCAGAAAGCCCAATACATTTCATCTGCTGAGTCCACAATGCTTAATCAACAGAAGATACAAAGGCTCTAAATAACACAAAACACTTAGGAACTTTCCTACTTTCCACAGCAGGGAAGGGAACCCATATAGACTTCCGTAGCCCTTCCTGGTTACTGAGCTGGGACCCATTCTGGGTATTTCCATGACTACTGCTCCCAGTTTTTAAAGGCCCAAGGGCCATAACAGTCATATTGGAGAGAAGCCAGTAATGTATATCCATTAGAAAATAATTCTTCATGGAGATACAGACCATGGGAAAAAGTAAAGTGCAGTGGATAGAGCACCAAACAGAGAGTCACAAGTCCTGGTCTCCACCTTTAACTTAAAGTGTGATCTTTAAAACACTTAAACTCATCAGTAAAGTGCAGATCATAATTAAAACCTAATTTTTTAAAACATAATTAAAAATTTTAAATGCTTTGAGATTAAAGGTGATATAAGTGATCATTCTCATTGTTATTTCCAAATCAACCTGTGTCTTTTCTCTGCAAAGTCCATTTAAAATTAACACATTCAATAGACTATGTTTCAGTGAGTCACTAGGGAAGTAGGCACATAACCCCACAAAATTATAATACTTCAGAAAAAAAGAGGGGATTTTTTTCTGACTCAGATTCTTTTGAAAGAGCACCAGCAGGGAATGGAGGGGAGGGGAACTGAGACAGAAAGTGATCACAGCATGAAAATGTCCTTTTTAATAAAAAGAGAAAGTAGCACGAGGACATTTAGGTAATTCAAAGCTCTCAACAAATGCAAGGTTTGAAGCAACGTAAATGAGAGGGTCAATCTGCTTTTATAATATTAAAATAACTAAGCACAACAGCAAACCTTTTTTCATATTTATTAGCATTGACCTGATCTCATATTCAGAGCCCAGATGGAATTTATTGCTGATGGATCTTAATTCTGACTCTTTGTGGTTTCCATGCATAGCACCTAAGTGAGATATTGTATATTCTGATTAAAGTCTATTGCATGCCAACTGACTTCAGAAATGGCA